GTCTCCATGCGACCCTTGCCCTTTACTTCCACTGCTCCACGGCGCTCCAGAGCATAGCCGCGGAGTTCTAATAGCTGCAAGTTGAAATAATACGATAATTTGTAGGATAAATAGAATAAGTGAGGATTTTTGCAGCGTCAGAGGGGCTTGTATAACAAAATGGTTGTTACAGGAATAGATTAATTTATGGAGTCAAAAGAATAAACGGTTTTTGTGTAACATTAATGATAGGACTGGTGACAACATGATCAAATGTCTCTTCAATGATCATAACAACCGCCATTGGTTTTAATAGTCAACAGATCTTGTTTTCTAAGAAAAAGAAAGAAAAAAAGAAAGATGTGGTACAGCAGATGGAAACAATTGAGATGACTACCTTACCTGCTTAGTATATTTGGTGACTTGTATCTTGTCCATGGCCCCGGTGGTCTCCATCCTGGAAGCTTCATTGACGGTGTTGCCCCAGATGTCATACACTGGCTTCCGAGCACCTATCACTCCGCCCACCAGGGGACCGCAACTTATACCTAGTAAAAATATAAAGAATAGTAAAAATATTTCGCAGCAGTGAGAGAGATGACCTGCTTTGAGCAAGCGTGAAGAATAATGTTCATTCTCTCTCAATGTCCTTTTTTCCCAGATTAATATTTTTTGATAGTTAAAGAACACATAAAATAACTTAAAAGAAGTACATCTCACCAACTCTTAACCGGAACTTGTAGAAGCTGTGTTTACTGATGTCTTCTAGCGCTTCCCTTAGAGCGAAAGCATAGTCGACCAGCGCGCACAGGTGTTCACAGTTGTCCTCACCCGTCTTAAAGAAAAAAGAAAAACAATGAATGAAATCTGTGCACAAAAACTTACTACTTCCGAAACAGTTATGGCTTAAACACCAAAGATGAAAAGGTCACATAAAGTTAGGTGAAGGAAAAGCAACCTTACCTTATTGTGATTAGGATTGAGTCCAGAAGCAGCCATATAAGTAGCTGCGATAGTTTTGATCTTCTCAATGCTTTTGAAGCGTTGCTGCATCAGCAACTTATCAAAGTCAACTGCAAACAATGAACAATCATGTTAGCCAAACGTGGACGCCATAGTCCACGAGCAGGAAATTAGATGACCGACTTATTCGTATCAAAATTATATTCAAGCAAAAAGAAGAAGTTTCTTAAAAGCTATACTTCGCGGTTGATTGGGCCATTCACAGAAAGTAAGAGGCGATATTTGTCTGCTAACATTCACTGTAGATTAACCATTTATCTGCCGGTATATGAGATATAATAGAAACCACATTTTGTCTCGCGTATATCTACGTCCCCGGTATACCAGGGGTTAATCGCTAAATATGTTTATCATCTCTATACAAGAGTGGAAAGTTGGTTAAATACTTTTTTTTATGGCATGAGCCAGTAAACGAGCACGACGGATCACCTGATGGTAAGCAATCGGCGTCGCCCATGGACACCTGGAACACCAGAGGCGTTACAAGTGCGTTACCGGCCTTTTGGGGATTAGGAGTTTAAGGATCGTTGGAGATTCAAGGATTTGGGAGATTGGGGAAGGGAAGGGTAATTGGGCTTCCGGTAACCTCACTCACACGACGAAACACAATGCAAGCGTTGCTTCACGTCTGTGTTCTGTGAGGCCGTGGGTCCACTCGGGTCGAGCCGGCCCATTTGTGTCGAAGCTTGGCTCTCCCACACTTAAACTTACTCTACAGGGTTTATGACGTAAGGGTGTTAATGGACGTTAACAAGC